AGACTGAAATCAGATTGCTGCTATTTTTTAGTTGAATTTGTTTGTAAGTTTGAATTCTATCCGTGCCTTATTGTATGCTTTGTGACAAGTTTATCTTGAGCCCATTTCCTTTCAGGCAGATATATTTCTACGAGGTTACTTAAGTTGGAATTCTCGGCGCGCTGTACAGGTTCTTGATCAGGTTTTTCCAAAGGTATTGTGTCAAGTTTTGTAGAATTTGGAGGTGTCTGATTATTTTATTGTTTGCTAGAATTATACGGTTGTTTAGGTATTTCCTCATGTGTAAATCACACGAATTTGTTACTTGTATGTTTGACAATAAAATTCCTTTTATCTGATAGGAATGTTGCAAAAGCAGAACCACTTTTCTATGCCGTAAACTATAGGGTATAGGAATGGATGTATATGAGAACGTTGCCCAGTTTAGATATACACATATACACAGAGCAAGGGCATTTCATTAAAATATTAAAGGATATATAAAAAATATAAGAAGGAAAAAAAAAAGAAAGAGGGGAGAGGAGAGGCATCTACCCTAGACCAAAGAGATTGCAAAAAAAGTGAAGAGAGAGAATAGTTGCAAAAAACTTTGGATCAGACACTAACTAAAGTGAAAATCGACTACATTTAAAGAGAAGTCAAAATTCCTTCCCTTGTTTTGGAAAATTCCTTTATTCATCTCCATCAATAGTTCCCATTGCACAGAAAAAGATAGGATTAATCCATGAAACTGAAGTGATGTTTACTCTCTTCCTTGCTCTCTTTTATAAAGGACACTCCAAGAAAGGGGATAGAGAACAAATGAAATTCATTTGCTGGATTTTTTGAATGTTACCTTTAGTTGCTTTCTCGAACTATAAATATTTGTGACAGGTTACATGCACCTCGTGTAATCTCACCAGACAACTATTTGAAATTACCTTTGGTTGTATAAAAATTGATAGGATTTTAATATCCCAGGTAGATCGTCATGTGGGAGTTCATATTTCTTATTGCATTCTCAGAAATGCTATTATTAGCTAATTCTATCTTCATGTGTGGAAGGGACAAAAGAGGACTGGCCCCAATAGTATCACAACTATATCTCCCAATCAAAGTTCCTAGCTTCATTAGCTGGATGGAAGTACCAAAATCTAGCACACTTCCATTAGGGATGGAATTTTGCAATCATTCCTTACACTTGTGAATGATTTCCTTGTGCTGCCATTGCATATAAATAATTCAATGGGCAGAGTTCTGCAAGTATTATCAGTTGGAACTGTAAATACTCTGTAGAAATTCTCAAACTGATAGAACTTGATATTATTTATCAACGAAGAGAGTACAAACACGGGGATTAGAAAGCTCCCCCATCTCTTCTAGACCTGATTACTTTAGTTCATTAGGGCATAATAATACCTTCTTCCTTACTTGCATCCTCCAAATACCTCTCAAGTCACATGACTTGGTTATACTAAGTGACGACTTAGTTTCATTTCTGATTAAGGAATTTGAATTATTTAGGTTCGGGGCGATCTGTGTAAACCAGCGATGTGATATCAATATCTGTATGATTAGTAGGTTTTTCACACAACATTATTTTCATTCTCACCCCTACTTGTTCCTCTTTTCTTCTTTGTGCGATCTACGTTGTCATTATTATCATTGCTTCTGCCATGTTATTTATTTATTTATTTACTTGAGTCTCAGGATGCTGCTGTACAGCCTTCTTTGGTAATAGTTTATTTTGGTGGTAATGATTCAATGGGTCCCCATGCATCTGGCCTTGGCCCTCATGTACCACTTCCTGAATACGTTGATAACATGAGAAAAATTGCAACTCATATCCAGGTATTCCAAACACAAACTTTGATCCTCAAAAGACTATTGAACGCGTAGTAGGTAAAAGTATTACTTGTAGCTAACAAGCCTACCGGTCGCTGAAAGAATAAATTCAATCATACTCTTCGTTTTCTTATGTTAACTGCTGTGGATGCATATTCTAACATAAATCCTTAAAAAAATCAGAGTCTTTCAGATAAAACGCGCCTTATCTTTTTAACGTGCCCTCCGGTGAATGAAACCAAAGTTCGTGAAAGTTCAAGGTGCCTTATGCAATTTAATGCATTGTTTCCAACGTCCTTGTTTATTTTGTATTTTTATTCTAAGATAGTTCATTTGTTTTATTAAATTATGCAGCAAGTTTCTCAGTGAACTGGTGAGAACAAATGAGTTGTGCAAGGCGTATGCCCAAGCTTGTGTAAAGCTGTGCCAAGAAATGGGTGTAAAAGTTGTTGATCTTTTTAGTGCCTTCCAAAAAAGAGATGATTGGATGAACGTTTGCCTCACGTAAGTTCGTTTTCATCATCATTTTGAATATTGATTGTAATTCATATTTCTTCAATCTGATTGAGAAATACAAACTTCCATTTTCTTGTTTGTAAGATGCTACTGAAAAACGTTGGGCGTCTTCTTTTCGGTTGGTTTTTGGTTTAGTTTGAAGCGATTCTGTTTCCTGTTTCCCCATTTTGCAGAGATGGGATTCATTTGTCAGCTGAAGGAAGCAAAGTAGTGGTGGAGGAGATCATGAAAGTTCTCAAGGAAGCTGAATGGAAGCCATCTCTATTCTGGAAGTCCCTTCCAACCGAGTTTGCAGAAGACTCGCCTTACGATCTTGTTGCAGCCGATGGCTCAAAAACTCTCAACGGGTCTGATTGGATCATTCACCGAGATATCATGTGGGATTAGTTTTGTTCTCAACCTCCCTTGCATTGCCCCCTCCCCATTGCAGCCATCTTACAGATATCAGTTGCTCAACAATGGCCAGACTTGCAAGAATTCCATAGAAGGCAGAAGGGAATGTAAGAGAAGTATGCAGCACTTGATCTTTCATTGTTGCAATTACAAGCAGCAGAAAATTTTAGGATTGAGTGGATAGAATGTTGTATTATAAATTAGTAATAAGTTTGTCATAAGCTTCTTGGAAATTAATAATATCATATGTGCTGCTTTATTTCTGTACTGAACATCACACAGAGACAGCAGGCAAGCTCAGCTGATGTAGCCAAAAGTAGAATATTTGTACCTCAGTAGTACCTTTATAATTATTTTTCATTTCATATTACATAGAGATGGAGTAAATGGCTTTGATTTGAATCATCCAAGTGATATTAATTATGGAAAAGGTTGTCTAGAATCAAAGCCAGCAATAAGTGTTTCAATGGTAAGAATTTCATTGTCAGACGCGTTTTATTTAGACATGTGTGACCTTTTGAAAATTTTTCTATGATACGAGCGAGGACAAGACATGTTGGACATGCTGGAAAAACTCGTGTTGGTGTTATTAGATTCTTTCATCACTGTATTTTTTGAACGGTCATATTTTATTCTCTTTTATGTACCCTTTTTCTCAGACTTAGTCTCTTTCAAGTTTTCAACACCATTTTCTCTCTTTTTATGAATTATTTTCATTTCAGTAATTTGTTAATTCCAATCCGAAAGTATTTTTAGGTAAAATATTATTCTATCACAAAAATCATTCTAATGAAGTCAAAGTCATTTTTGTTACATTAATAAAGTGTTTGTTACTATTATACAAACGATTTGACTAATACCCAAGTTGATTTTAGGACGAATAAATGAAGAAAAAAAGAATCATTCAATAATTTCCTTCTTTTTTTCCTTTCTGTATTTATTGTATTAAGGAAAAATGAAAATCTAAACTTCTAGTTTAAGCAATAATCTCTTCTACAATTTTATAATTTTGAAGGTTTTTATAATTTTTTTAAAACTTAAATTAATTGAATAAGGGAATATAATTGAAATATCCTAAGGAATGGCAGATAAAATTATTCCCTGCCATCTGTAATAAATTAAGAAAGAGTTAAAAGATATTTATATTACTTAATTAGTAAATTTACAAAAAGAAAAAAGAGGAAATTTCTATTGGTTTTTTAATAATAATATAGTGAGGAGATATTTCTGAAGATATTTAAGATAGATGCTTAAAGGTATTGGGGTGGGACCCACTCGGTGTTGCGTGGAACCCTTTTTCTACTCTTTTCTATTTATTAATTCTCTTTCTCTCTTTTTTTATATTCACTTTTGGATATTTTCTCAATCAATCTATCCCACTCGCGCTCTTTAGCGCGTGTGCCCATTCTCCTTTTGGATATTTTCTTTTTTGCACGTTTTTTTACCGGGATGGTAATAATGAGATGTACTACTCACACCACTGTCAAATCATTTTTCTCTAATTTCCTTTTATTTTTAAATATAATTAATTAATTTTCCATATGTATAAGAGAAAATAATAATAATAATAATCTTAATGTTTTTTTTATTTCCGTCTTTAATAGATTAATATATTGTAATAAGTCAAAGATCTAAATTTTTACTCTTGTTTTTTGTTGAACTAAAATAAAGTTGTATGGTTGAGTAGAGTGTGCATATTTTACCCGGGCTACAAGTTTGATGATTTTATAAGCAACTTGCTCGGTTAAAACATCTACTCCTTTACGATCAAAGTATTTTTCGAGTTCATTTGTGGGAATTAAAATTCAAAACTCTAACCTTTTTGTTTAAGGTTTTTATTTTTTTAAAATCAACTAATTTATACTATAATTTTACGATGTTTATATATTTAAAAGTTTAAATTCTCGTTCAAACAAACAAACATTATCGGATGGAGCAAAACTTACAAACATTATCGGATGGAGCAAAACTTAGGATGCTAAATATCACCCAACTTTTTCAGTGCAACCATGTGGCTGAAGTTTTTGGTGTCGAATGTCATATTACTTTTTTGCTTACTTTATTTTATTTGTTATATTTTCATTTATCGATTATATTTTATTTGTCTATATTCAAAAATAACATCTTTTTTCGTTTTTTTCCAAAAATATTTGACAATATCAATTTCAAACATATTTTTCTATATTGTTATCTAACACACTCAATTTTTAAAAAGTAATAAAAAAAAACTGAAAAATATATATATATATATATATATTAAAATGCTTGAAACGTGGCACCACAATATTATGCCACGTGGGTAGTTTGCAACCTGAGTGTAGCCCAGCTAGCACCCAAGTTTTGGTCTGCTCCAAGCACCTTTTTGCCTTCTATACATTTTCTTTCCACGCGCTGTTCGCTTCGCGTGGGCCCTTCTAAAAGTCTCTCAGCTCCACGTCCCAAAGCTACACCGATAATGGATCCTTCCAGCAGTATTTAGTCATCACTAACTCCATTTTTTTTTTCTTCAACCTTGGCTTGCCTTCCCCTTCTCCTCCTCTACAAGCTACCACTCCCCTTCCACTTCCACTTCCAACCATGGCCGATATCAACCCCCGCCGCAAATCCAAAACCAAGCCTTCAGCCACCACCACCACCACAACCACAACCACCACCAGCGACGACGGCCGACACGACGGCTTCCCTGACGAATGCGACGCCCAGGTGTGGGCCTCCTTCGACCAGACCTTCCGCCAGGTCCAGTCAGTGCTGGACCGTAACAGAGTGCTGATTCAACAGGTGAACGAGAACCACCAGTCTCGAATTCCCAGCAACATGGTGGACAACGTGGCTCTCATCCAAGAACTCAATGGGAACATCTCTAAAGTTGTCTCCATGTACTCCGATTTCTCCTCTGACTTCTCCTCTGGGTTCAATAACAACAAATCCAGAAATGGCAAAAGAGGAAGCAGCAACCCAGATGCTTGACGAAGAATTCAAGCCACAGAAACAAAGAACAAAGCCGGTCATCTTCACTTCAGCGCATTGTTTTCTTTCTGTTTCATCAGCATCATTATCATCATCATCGGCTAGAATAAAAGGTGGGCAGTGGGTGGTTTGGAAATGCGGGAATGAAGAACTTCTCGCAGGTGGTGTGTGTATGTGTATGCTTTGTGGTGGTGTTTTTTTCTCATTAAAAATGTGTTTCCTCTTTCAAATGTAACAGTTAATGCATGCTTCCATCATCATCATCATGATGATTGTCAGAGTTCATTGTCTTCTTCTTCTTCTTTACTTACCTTCTCCCAAAAGATGGGAAACTTTTCTTATCAGCAACGGAGGATAAAACAGAACATCATATGGGAAACAAAAGTGCTTTAGTTTTTTATATATAAATCCAGACGCTTTTAGAGTTTTCAGGCCACAGAAGGAAAACTACAAAAAATATAAATTCTATATTATAAATCTTTTCAGAACTACTACCTTTTTCCACGTCTTTCTATATATTGTCATATAACAAACAACAGCTACTGAGATTGATCATATAAGTTATACAAGACACAAAAGGGTGCTGCCGTGCTGTTCTTTACCCAAAATACATGAACGATCAAACAGTAGAAAGGTGAAGATATTTTAGAAAAAAAAAATCTTTCTTTTACTAAATATCTACTTATTAACACAAATCATGGTATTAAGTAGATATAGTAAGTGAGATATTTGAAGATATCATTCAATCAAATCTGTTGATTTTGCAGTCGGTATCTGTTTCAATAAAAGTTGTTCTAAATTCGGAATCCACAAAAGAAGATGATGTGCTCATTTTGAAAACTTTTCTGAATATGGAATCTCTAAAAGAAGATGAAGTGTGTTTGTGCTTGTTGTGTTCATGGAAGATGCTAAAACTTCAACACCAATCTACCATTTTTAGAAGGAAAATCTTGACATTTTACGAAGACAACAGTCAATTGTATAGAAATGATAAATAATGTGAATGAGAACATTAAATGCCATTGGAATGATCAATTCTAAAGTGAAGCTGATGCCTACATCTCACTAGAGAGAAAGTTGTAGGGAGAGAGGACCTTTGTTATCAACAATCTCTGTTTCCAGAACTATACTGGAAGTTCTCCACTTTCTGAAATGTAAACTTCAGTCTTTGGTTTTCCATCCCCCTGACTTCCTTCGGCTTCCATCTTGAACACAACATCCATGCCCGAAAGCACTTTTCCAAACACAACATGGTGCCCATCCAACCTATGAAATAAGCAAACAGATTTTGAAAAGTTCATTCCACAAGGACCTGCGTCAACCTTTCAAATGAAACATTTACCAGCTAGTTTTAACAGTCGTAATAAAGAACTGCGATCCGTTTGTGTCCTCCCCAGAGTTTGCCATTGACACAAAACCTGATAAAAAGCCAAACCATTCATTCAAGACAGGAGTAGGTTCCAAAAGTAAGTTCAAATCAAATATTAGAGTCCTCAAATTCCAGTGATCATGTTCAATTAACTTGCTGTTGAAACATTCAAGTAGTCAAGATTACCTGGACCATCATGTTTCAATTGGAAATTTTCATCTGCAAACTTTTCGCCATATATCGACTCTCCACCTCGGCCATCTCCACGAGTAAAATCACCTCCCTGTATCATAAAACTGGGAATAATCCTATGGAATTTGCTTCCTTTGTAATGTAGAGGCTTCCCGCTCCTCCCCATTCCTTTCTCTCCTAGAACAAGATTAAACGAATTATTTATAAATTTTCAAAACATAACAATATTTTAGCAGAAAACTAAATAAATGTTTGCTGCTTCAATCAATATGAAGAGAAACCTAACTATTGAAGAGCAAAATCTACTTGGCTACCCGTGCAAAGAGCGCGAAAATTCTCTGCAGAACACACATATAGAAGTAGAATAATCAGAGCCTTCTATAGGAATACAAAAACAGTCATCAAAGAATCATTGAACTAGCTCCTTACCTGCGGTTTTAGGGACTGTTTCTCCAAATAGGCCAATAACAACTCGTCCTGTGAGAAAGAAATTTGTTATGGAAGATTTTCAAATGAGTTGCCACTTTTGAATAAATATATGTTTCTGGTTCAAAATATAAAACAGAAGCAAATCTTAGCCATGTTTTTCTTCCTTCTTTAGGCTTGCAAGATTTCCTGACTACCCAATGTTCCCCAAGATACGAAAATTTTATTGAGATCGATCTTTGTAGGAATCATCACTCTTCACCCAACTTTTGCATTTGCCCCTAATACTCTTTTACAGGTTTCTAATTCCTCCATTAACACTGATATGGATTCTAGCAAGTAGTTCCCTAGACAGGATGAATCATTAAGTTTGACAATGAAATTCCATTAAGAAAACAAAATGATCTGATTTCACCCATAATTCCCCCACTCTAATCTGAGTTTTGACTAGAATTCATAACAAGGACACAGCAAAGCTCCTCAAAACACATGCCCAGTCTCATACTCTCCTACTTATCACTCTCATCCCACTCGAGAAACTAATGATTAACCTTACCTTACTTAAGGTTTTTTAAACAAAACCCACCTCCCTAGGCAAAATTGGATCGAAAATTTTCGAACTAGTTCGACAGTGAGAAAGTAAAAAGAAATGGGCCATACCAGAGGGCTTTCCGCCAATTTCGATATCAAAGTATACTCTGTGAGTCACCGTCGTAGGATTCTTCCCCAATTTGATTTCCTGCAATCAATGACAAAAGTGAGTTCTGTTTGATTGAAGAGATACACGGAGAGTGAAGAAACAGTAACTCACTTCATCGACAACCTTTTGTTCGGACGAGACACCACTATCATTTAATTGGTTCTGCGAAAAGCAAGAAAAAATCATAACGAAGAAGAACAAAGACATTTTAGAAACTGAAATTGGGAGCTCTGATCTTCTCCATTCAAGATAAATGGAAGATGGATACGGAAAATTCTTACCAGAATCAAGACAATTGTGGCAATCAGAAACAAGATCCATAAACAGACCGCTGAGAATAACCTCTTCATTGTGGGCATCTCTTCTAATTTTTGCTCCAAGATCGTCTCGACTTTCAGGAAACCTCCTCAGTGAAAAATTTGAAATTAAAACAGTGCTGACTTTTTTTTCTCCCTTTTTTTTAGGTGAAAACAATGCTGAATTGATAATTGTTCTTAAAAAAAAAAAAAAAAGGCTAAATTACCAATAAATAAATAATATCCCTTGACCTTGTTAATTAATCCTACATTTAATCTGTTTATTAAAAAAATAATAATAATAATAATATATATATATATATACACACTTTCGCTTGTCATCATAATTAAAAAGTGACTATCTGGACAAGAATAATATCAAACTCAAATTATATCGGCTAAAATGATAAGTTCAAAATTTAGACAATTAAAAAGAGTTGACTAAAAAAGTGTATTTTTTTTTTCATTCCGAGATGTTATTGTTGCCTATTTTTTATAAATGAGTTATTCCAGGGATGTTTATGGTTAATATAAGTATAAAAAAGTATATAATTTATATATAAAAAAAACTAATCGTTTTTATTAAATGAAAGAAAATTCTATGAAAGTTAAGTGCCACGATGAATTTGATTTATGATACGAAGGGAGAAACTATTAAATCTTATGAAAAAAAACCAAAATTAATCAATAAAATAATTAAAATCAGACACAACATTGGGCCGACATTGAAAAATAAAAATCAAAGAAAAAACATGTTCTGTGGGTAACAGAGAAGCAGTTAAGGTTGGGACTGGATTTTTTTTGTTGTAATAAATGCTTCCTAACATTATTTATTCATATTCATTACACCGCAACATAAAATAGTCTCTCTCTAATAATTATTTTCACTTTTAATTTTTTTTAAAAATTATGGATATCTTTATCAGCCTGTCACGTTTAGTACTCTGAATTAGAGAAATAATAATAATAATAATAATAAAGACTTTTAAATATAGATATCTCTATCAGTGAGTCACATTTAGCATCATAAATTAGGGAAAAAAAATAATAATGAAGACTTAAACATGCTGATATGGCTACAAGGGAGAGAGGCAATTGGACCCCGGTATTATCGTGACAATAAGGTCATAAATATGACTAATAAACGAAAGATTAATTAAAAATAAGTATCAACATAATTACAGATAAGAATAAAGATATATAATATAATTGACGATATCTATAATGGACATGTGTTATGTGATTGGGTCTTATAGAACTTTATGCTATATTTGTTAAAATTGAAATGTATTAAATACAAATTACAAATTTTTATATTTTTATTATTTTTATAGAGTAATTTCAATTAATTATTATTTTAAAAGTTCTAAAGTGTATATTTTAATTAAGTGTAGCTTAAAATTAAAAGGTCCAACGAACCAGATTGTATAATTGCTGAGAAATGTGGGCCATAATCTTCTCTACCATTACTCTCTTTTGGTTTCATCTTCTTCCAATTCCGTTCTCTGTGGATTTTTCCCTTCTTCTTCACAGAGCTTTCTTTCTCACTGTTTCTCTCTCTAAATCCCCCCCGTATCCCTCTAATTCTTCTCCTCCATGTCGAAGCAGACCTACAGAGTGTGCTTCTGCTTCCGCCGGCGTTTCAGGATGACCGCCAGCGAAGCCCCCAAAGAGATCAAGAACCTCTTCGACCAGTACTCCGAGAATGGGATCATGGACGCTGATCATCTGCAGAGATTCTTGATCGACGTTCAGAAGGAGGTCAAGACGACGAGGGACGACGCTCAGAACATGATTGAGCGCTGTACTAACGAGCTTAAGCATTTGAACATCTTCCATCGGAAGGTCCTCAATCTTGAAGCCTTCTTTAAGTATCTCTTCAGCGATCTCAACCCTCCTCTCGAGTCTCGTGGGGTAATTTTTTGCCTTTCTTTTCACTCTGCTCATTCTTCATAATTGCTTTCGATTTTTGAATTGTTTAGTTTCTTTCTGTATGTTTTGGCTCGTTTATTTTGCTGTGGATGACTGGGGTTACTGTTAATTATGTGTAGAAATTAATTGATTACTGAGCCCCTCTTGTGTTCTTGCTTGTTTGAAAGAGATTCCGGATCTCTCTCTCTCTCTCTCTCTTTGTGCGTGTCGGTGTGTGTTTTATACATCAAATTTAATATTTGTTTTCAGCTTTTCATGGGGTAAAGCATCTTGTTACTTTTCTGGTGGTACGAGGACAAGTTCGGTATTATGACTGAACATGGAATGGCGTATATTCTGATTTTTCAGGTGC